CCAATAAAATCATCAAATAATTGGTCAAGAAATCTTGAACAGTAAATTTACCAGGCATAAAACAAGTGTAACCAATAGCACCAACCATACAAGCAGTCAAGACAAGTGCAAAGATGGCAGTATAAGGTTGGAACCATGAAGTGTATTGGAATTTTGATCTGTTCAAACCTTGAACTCTGCAAGCATTCCAGAAACCCAAATAAGTAATACACATGAAAAAATAATTTGTAATTTGAGCACCAGTGACCAAATTAACAATCCAGGTTAAAACTTTAGCAGCTGAATCACCCAATTGTAATAATGATAATAATGAAAACATGAATGAAACTGCAATACAAAAGATTGGAACACCACTCTTTGTACAATATTGAAAGAATTTTGGAGCATGACCTCTTTGAGAAATTGATAATAAAGCTCTTGAAGAACAATAGACATATGAATTACCTGCACTGAAAGCTGACAAGACACAAAGGGAATTAACAATATGAGGTAAAACTTTAATCTTTAGGTTATTCATTGCAATGATATATGGAGAAAATGAACCATTTGAAGTAGAATCAGAAGCAGCCAAGTGTTGTAAAGTTGGATCGTTTGAAGCAACCAAGATACCAACAGATAAAGCACCAAGGATATAAAACACAGTCAATCTATAGAAAACAGTTCTAAAAGTACCAGCTAAAACTTTTCTAGTTTCTTGACCAGCTTCACCTGCAACCATTGACAAGTATTCAGGACCAACAATAGTGAAACAAGCTTTGTTTAAAGCAGCCATGAACCCATGGAATCTACCCATTGAACCACCAGTTAAATGCTCCACTAATGGACCAGGATTTTGCCAATAACGGAAACCAAAGGCATCATGTTGAGGATTACCACCAACCATAGTGATAAATGTGAAAAAGATCAAACCAATAGCCAATGCAACTTTACCAATAGTTAAATAAAATTCAGATTCACCAAAGACTCTAACAGCAAACAAATTCAACATTGTATAAATGAAAATTTGTAAACAAAAAGTAATAGCTGGTGAATAATCATCTCTCCAATAATGAATCATACCGTTAACTGCAGTGATTTCGAATGGGATATAAACACTAATCATAATGAAATAGTTGAAACCCACAATAACTTCAAAAGCTTCATCAACACAACGTCCAGCCATTTGAATAAAAGGAGCAGTGATTGGTAAATAACAAACCATTTCACCAATACTAGCAGTAACACAAAAGATTACACCAGTCCAGATGAAAAATGAAAGAAATAAACCTAATGGACCACCGTATAGTAAACCAGTTGAAATAGTAACAAATAACCCGGTACCGATAGAACCACCCATTGCAATCAAATTCAAAGTTCTTGAATTCAAAGTACGATGGGTTGAATGGATTGAAGTTGAAGAGCCTTGATCATCTGAAGATGATTGATTCGTTATTGATAATTCATCAGCTTTTTTTTCATTTTCAATATCAAGTTGTTTTGAACTTGAATATCTTGAGAAAACCATAATTGTAGAATTGTATATGAAAGTAGTATAATGTATCTATGCCTTCACTTATTTATTTAGTTTGGCATTTAATGTGTTTTAGTATGTTCCGCGAATCGATAACGATGTTGTAAGTGTAAGCTGTGTAACTACTGAAAGTGTATCAAACCAGGATGGATTTGGAAATGAGGCCATATATTTATACCAAATTGTGAAAAGTTTTCACACTGAGAAATCTAGGGTACTTGATCAATTCGACATGATCAAAAATGCGATGCTGTAGTCTCTGTTTTTTTTTCTTTCTCTAGTCTTTGCAAAAAACAAGTTCAAAGTTCAAGATTTCACTAAAAACTTTCACGGTTAAAGCATGATGATGTAATGAGTTGTTCCTAGTGAAAAATTTTCCCGTTGAGTGCAAAAAAAGAGCTTTTTCCAAAATTCAAACTCGAACGCCAAAAAAGGAACGAGCTGGGGGACTACGAACGACAGGATAATGGGTCATGAGAAGGCCCATGATATCGAGTTATAAGAGCTCGATGATGGCTAGGGAAGTTGGTATTCTCAGTGTTCTCACCCAAACTACGTCATGGGAGAGCCCATGTCCCAGCATTTGATGCACTCTTCCCAAAAGAGCACAAATTGGAAGAAAACAGAGTTCCCAAAATGGCCTCATTTCTTCGACTCTCGGGACTGCCCATTCCCAAGACAGTATGGCTAGCAGGTCTAGGGCAGAGGCTTAAGCGCATAGTCCCTCAAAATTGTGTCACTGCAGGGCCCTTCGTGGTCTAAAATTCAAATGTGGTTCTCGAGAAACATGTAAAAAGGAATGAGTGTATACAAGTGTAAACAAAAACAATAAACTCTCCAGATTTTTACATCCGATGGCATGAATTTGGAGAATATCAACTAGATTTAATCATTTAAATCAGGTGAAGGTTTTCTATAAACAGTTCACTTTCCATGATTGGTTCACTAATACTCGGTCAATAGCCTACATATCGATCATGTGTTCCTACAGCCGAGTAATAATAATAATTTACAAATTGACGAGAGAGTACCGAAGACCACACACATTGGTGATTGTTTGGAGACTAGTAAAATTTTGTAAACAATTGACATCGACGCTGCAGATTCTCCATCTTTTCATTTGCGAACCACATATAACCGTGAAAACCTTTTCTACCCATCACACTTCCCTCCTCATCATGACTCGCATATAGCCTCAATTTCATATCCTCCACCTATAATATTGGTCATTTGGTATTTGAAAACTTCCACTATTACACTACAAAAGTTAAACTGACTAGTCTCACGGTTCATAAAAATTTTCACCACCATAATTTATGTATCACACACTATACGGCACAAAGAATTCAAAAGAACTCCCAAATTGGGAAAAACACCTGTTTTGGGAAAACAAGCAAAAATTACCCAAATGCGGAATATTCCGAAATTTATATGGGTCACGGATTCGGTAGACTTCCTTATCCGGTAGGTTTTCAAAAGTTTTTTTTTCCAAACTACGAGTCAACGACATGTTGTGTGTTGAAATTAAGAAGTTGTTTGTTTGCT